TAAAGTATAACGTAATAAAAATCCCATCACCACGTGCAAATAAAAAACATGCAATGTGCCCAAAAAATTAGTAAATGTGCGGTTCCCGCCACCATGAATGTGCAGTTCAGTAATATGTGTAGTTCCCGCCACCGTGAATGTGCAGTTCAGTAATATGTTTAGTTCCCGCCACCGTGAATGTGCAGTTCAGTAATATGTTTAGTTCCCGCCACCGTGAATGTGAAGTTTGGTAATATGGGCAGTTCCCGCCACCATGCTTATAAAAAAACATAATGATAAAAATAAATAAATAAATATAAAATTTAAATATGTTTATGGAAGGAATACTCAAACTGCTATTCAACAAAAATGACTTTTCTAGAGAGAAAAATGTCATAAATTTCATACTTTAAACATTAAGTTAAATATTTAGCTTCTAATCGCGTAACCCACATGTGCAATGAATTAATATATATAACTCCTAACCATGCATTTGAGTTATATGTCCCTAATAACAACCCACACGTGCAATGAATAAATATATATAACTCCTAACCATGCATTTGAGTTATATGTCCCTAACACCAACCCACACGTGCAATGGATAAATATATATAACTCCTAACCATGCATTTGAGTTATATGTCCCTAACACCAACCCACACGTGCAATGGATACATATATATAACTCCTAACCATGCATTTGAGTTATATGTCCCTAATATCAACCCACACGTGCAATGGATAAATATATATAACTCCTAACCATGCATTTGAGTTATATGTCCCTAACACCAATACACGCGTGCAATGAATAAATATATATAACTCCTAACCATGCATTTGAGTTATATGTCCCTAATATCAATCCACACGTGCAATGTATAATGTAAATATATAATATTTCCTTATTTTGCATTCGGTTTATATGCCCCTAACATAAATTATCACATCCGCGCAATGTATATATAACTCACAAGGCCTGATTTCAGGTGTATCAATAATTGCCCTGTCAATTAGCAAGAGTTACTGGAAAGCAATCAACACAGCATACATCACTACATATCAAACCAGACAAAAAATACACTTTGTATAGAATCACTAGATCTCCACTCATGCATACATATAGTCGTATCACAGGACGATATAGAAAACAATGCACGGGGTGTATAACAAACATATATGATAACACACACAATCACACACATCAATTTTTTATGATTGTTAACTATCCTATCATCATCCTGCCGCTTCATTATAAAACACTACCAACATACACTGGCTGGTCTGCACGCATATAGTACAGCACACTGAAGGCATCTTTACGTAAGTCACAAATACCAGCAGTTAGGACATGTAGGATAGACTGTTACACCAAGACATCGAAAATGAAATAAGTAAATATATATTCACATTATTTATAACATTAATTACTACTCCAAGTTTCAATGATCATCTCATCAACATCCCGTATCAAATTCACCAACAACACTTAAAAAGGATTTTATAGCATGCACTATCACCTGTATACAACACATACACCACCCAAGAAAATGTATCACAAATTAAAAAAAAAAAAGCATTGACTGTCACACATTAAAAATATGCACCACCACCCAAAATGTACAACATGCACCACCACCCAAAATACAGCATGCACCACCACCCAAAATGTACAACATGCACCACCACCCAAAATACAGCATGCACCACCACCCAAAATATAGAATACACCAACAACCAGAATATAGCATACACCACCACCCAAAATATAGCATACACCACCACCCAAAATATAGCATTCACCGTCAACCAGAATATAGCATGCACCACCACCCAGAATATAGCATACACCACCACCCAAAATATAGCATACACCACCACCAAATATAGAGCATGCACCACCACCAAATATACAGCATGCACCACCACCAATCTATGATAAAAAAAGGTTTTCCACCAGAAAATAAATGAAAATTCAATATTATGTATCATCTTTCATGATGCATTATGTTAAATACATATAGAATGTAGCGCCTGTTAGTCTTGATGTCACGAGATTGACTAAAAAAAACATGCACCGCCACCCAAACAATGACGAAAAAGTGAAATACATGCTCCACCACCTAAAATATACCACATGCACCACCACTGATTAAAAAAAACATGCACAACCACCGAAAAAAACATGCACCACCACCGAAAAAAAAAACATGCACCACCACCGAAAAAAAAAAAAATAAAAAAATAAAAGCATGCACCACCACCTCCTATTCAACAAACACGCCATTAATATAAAAGTGCACCAACACACAAAAAAGACATGCACTAACACCAAAGCCAAAAATACATTATCGCTTGATATATAGAGAATACGCTACGTCATTACAGAAACAGCTTAGTACAAAGCATAAAATATAGAGAATACACGACGTCATTACAGAAACAGCTTAGTACATAGCATAAGATATAGAGAATACACGACGTCATTACAGAAACAGCTTAGTACATAGCATAAGATATAGAGAATACACGACGTCATTACAGAAACAGCCTAGTACATAGCATAAGATATAGAGAATACACGACGTCATTATAGAAACAGCATGACCATGTCATCATAAATTACCTGATTGTCTACGATTTTCTACAGCTATATGTTATCATTGTTACAAAGCAGTTCGGTCTAGTACTTCTATGTGTTTACCTAATATATCATTTTACTTTCACTTTAGGCTTGATATAGGTCTACCAAATGTTTTTATTTATAAACAATATCTATTTCTGTCGCGCTATGGATGGAATGGTAAGAATGTCCAATAAAACCAAGAGGTAGGTTAGTGTTCTTATGTCTATGTGTACTACTTTTTACATCTACAGCTATTACGTCAACGACAAATACAAACTATCATTTATAATGTATTAATTCACTACACACATATACATATATATATAGTCTGTCATGCGCCACAACCAAAGTTATTTCTTAAGCATTCTCGATATTTTCATTTTATACCATAGCACCCACTATGCACCATAACCACAGTTTTAACATGCATTCTTGTCTTGCGCCATCACCAAAGCTAGTTATCATTTTCACCAGATATTACTAACAAGTCTAACAAGCGTTTGCCATGCGCCATCACCAAAGCCTTTTAACCATGCATTCATCGATTTGTTCGCCAGATACAACTATCAAGCATTTGCCATGCGCCATCACCAAAGCCGTTTTTTCACCATGCATGCATCGATTTGTTCGCCTCATGCCACTACGACGCGTTTGCCATGCGCCATCACCAAAGCCTTTTAACCATGCATTCATCGATTTGTTCGCCTCATGCCACTACGACGCGTTTGCCATGCGCCATCACCAAAGCCTTTTAACCATGCATGCATCGATTTGTTCGCCTCATGCCACTACGACGCGTTTGCCATGCGCCATCACCAAAGCCTTTTAACCATGCATTCATCGATTTGTTCGCCAGATACAACTATCAAGCATTTGCCATGCGCCATCACCAAAGCCGTTTTTCCACCATGCATGCATCGATTTGTTCGCCTCATGCCACTACGACGCGTTTGCCATGCGCCATCACCAAAGCCTTTTAACCATGCATTCATCGATTTGTTCGCCAGATACAACTATCAAGCATTTGCCATGCGCCATCACCAAAGCCGTTTTTTCACCATGCATGCATCGATTTGTTCGCCTCATGCCACTAAGAAGCGTTTACCATGCGCCATCACCAAAGCCTTTTTTACCATGCATTCATCAATTTGTTCGCCAGATATCACTAACAAGTGTTTGACATACGCCATCACCAAAATCTTTTTCATAATGCATTCAAGAAAATTTTCACCAGCTATCACTAAACCAGCGTCTGTCATGCGCCATCACAAAGCCATTTCTTGTATTAACCATATAATTCTATAACTGAACATACATCATGCACATACACGCTGTTCATTATACATTCATGGCATTTATAAGTTTGCGTTCGATTTAAATTAAGGAACGAAATTTAGCCATACATCAGCTCTCACTACACACATTGTATTCTGTCTCACCAATAATATACTGGATGCATTTGCTTTTGTCAATCGCCCTCGACAACAGAGTTTAATAGTCAAAAGTCCACTTCAAATATATATAATTAATATTATGATAAGTAATCATGTTTAAAATCAAACCGTTTTGGCTGCATTTCGTGGCTGATTTGCGTTATAAACGCTGTAACTGACCAGAAGCATTTCAAGCAAGAAATGTGATAGATATAAAGTTGTAGTCAATATCTAAGTCACACCAAGGTCAAAGAAGTTAACATCAAACAGTATAGAGTTAGGTGTTTAAACTAATTAATTTGCGCTTATAACATAAAACCCTGTACCATTGCCATGCACTATCACCAAAGCTCTACAAAGCTAAATAATCATGCATACAATGTTATTTCGTGGTTTACATCTATATAGTCAACAACACAAGATCGTCGGTCACATGTAAATCGCGTGCACGACAATATATAATCGGTCAACATTACCGAGTTCTATACAGCCGACATATATAGCTGTCAAATACTCATCGATTATGCATCATAAAAGGGCATCTTAAAGCGATATCGTGATCCAGATCTGAACACTAAGCAACGTATTGATTATTTCATATAAATTTGTACACATTTCATGGTAATTATCGATATGTGGTTGTGACAGTACGTAGTCCTATTGTAGAGAGGCTCTAGGGTAGGATGGTCTCGGCTTTAAAACCGCCATGTAGCGAGCGCGCGTGTCTCTCAGGATGCCAACTTGTCAGCCCTCCCTAACAACGAAATATTCCAATATGGTATGAACATACAATATCAATATTTTTGTCAAATATTCAGTTCACGCGGTCCACTACCTGTTTAAAGTTTTATCTAACAATAGAAATACTATTGCATGCTTTTTCATGACAAAGTCGTTTAAACATGTGATATAAAAAAACAACTAAATATTAGTCAATGATGAAATTGAACGAGTCTATCTTACCTGGACGAGCCAGAATACATCGACGTCATTGGAGGCAGGTGCACATTGTCTTTCCAGAATTCGTGAAATTGGCTCAATTTCCCGGCATCAATTAACCGATCCACGTCTGCTTCCCTAATAGCCTGTTCCATTTCGTCGGTTGGAGTATACTCCCAAAACCGAAGAATCGGTTTCTCTTCCGTAAGATGCAGAGTGATTAAACAGAGTTTGAGTAAATCAGGGTCACAGAGTCCATTTTGGATCACCAAAGCTTTGTACAAACACATTTCGGCCAGGTCCAGTGGTCTGGGTGTATCCATACCAGTGACCTTAATGTTTATTGCATACATATACTCGTCTCTATGACAAAGAGCGTCTACCTGTCCCGTCATTACGCGTACACAGTTTGACACTTTCACGTGGCCTGTCAGTTTCACAGCAACAGCCTCAGACGATTGGAACCACGTGTCCAATTTTCGTTCGAACAGCTGACAGATGTGATTACAAAAGCTGAACTCACTGCTAACCCGAGTCACTTGTCCGAATGCGTCCGTGGCTCCTTTCCCATGGAAATACCTCATCATAGCGTCGTGGAAGTCTTTTCCTTGTGCTTCTCTGGAAACATTGTAAAGAAAGTCCTGATATCTCGCGCGATTTTTCACATGCTTGCTGAGATCTAGACGACAAGCTTCTTTCCTGGCCAGGAAGGACTCCCATCGGACCCTCTGGTCCGGGCTGTACGTACTACAGACAAGCTCCTCTCCGATACATTCAACCACCATAAAAATCTTCATGGTAGTTAGGTCGTAGGTCCTGGACAACTTCTCAAGTCGGCGACGAAGTTCGTCCTCATAACGAATTAAAGAGTTCGTCGAAGCGACTGACATTGTACAGATTTCATACAATGACACCAGTTCCTCGGAAAGAATATTTATATTCCGTATTCGAGTACTCTGCAAACCGAACAATACAGCCCAGTGTTGGAAATCTTTTTTATTCCACTCCAAAGACCTCCGATTTCACAGTCCACGAACAACGTGCCATTTCCCTACTTACACAAAACCCACGATTGATTTGTCACTGTTATCTATCCTTACAGCTGATAAGTAATCCTCCAAAATCGGACATGTTTGGAGTTTGTGTCGTTGTGTGTACGCATCACTCCATGTTAATAAGACATCTTTCCAGAGAATATCGTATTGACACTGGCAATCTTGGTCCGTTTCAACATTTCATCTTCCGTATTTAACGCCGTCGCGTATTAAATAATGTAGCAGGTATTTTGTGTGTACGGTCAATAAAATATCACTCGTGTGGCGTCTTTTGTAAACCAGGTAGACTTACCTGTGGCATACCTGTAGAAATGTACGCCTATTATAGTCTCGTCTGAACAGTGTATCGAATAACGTCATACTCGTCCAGCCATAAGCTCTGTCCAGGACAACTCGGTCGTGCGGTATGGGATCGTGGCGATTTGTCTTTCAAGTGGTATCTGTGGGACAAATTGCCCGATTCGACCGACTGAGTCTCTAACGGGAGTATGGTGATAGACAAGTCTGGACATCTCTGTGGAATGTTTTCCCATGCTGTGTAATGTACATATAGAGGTAGTGAAGAGCAAACACAGAGAAACCAAAACTCGATATATTCCGACTACACTGCAAGGCTGTTTAGTCTACAACTGACATTTGGATAAAGGGTCGCTGACTGAATGGTTATTGTTCGTGTATAAATATGTACTTAATATAACATGTCCGAACTACTTACCAATATACATAGAAGTTTAACTTAATACCTGTGTAGAAATATATACGTTGTTCTTCACATTTAAGTTAACGGCACTCTTAGTATCACCATTCCAAATGAAGTCAGAATATTTTCAGAAAATTAATCCGGTGACAATCAAGATTTCAAATTACCCCATATTAACCCTGAGGCCTTTTCTGAAACTATTTGTTGGAGTTTAATTGAATGGATTGCGTATTTACTTTAAAATACTCTAGTAAATTACACCCATAGTTCTCGTTTCGTGTTACAGGGATATATATATTTCTATGGAGAAATAAGACTAATAACTTGTCAATTACCTCTACCAGTTAAAGCCCTCCGTAAGTAATTCAGGCTAGTCAGTAAAATCATAAAGAAACTTGTAGGACTATCTTTCATATCTTTTGCCAAATGTTGAAAACTGTGCTTGTTTTGGGAAAGGGCGATGATAAAGTTGATAAAACTTGCACCCAATCTTATTGATTTTTTGTATCAATAAAATACATTGTATGTCTCAATCAAAATGAAATTTATGTGGCGAGCTTGGAATCAGATTCCTGTCTGTACTCAGTAGACAGGTAATTACACTATAATTAACGTTAAGGGGTATCAAAAGCAAACCATTATTATTTATCGCACTTCGAAATCAAATTAAACGCATGTGTAAAAACGTGTACAATATATAAACCGTGTGTACAGATTAAAAAATAACTAGGACACGTGTAGGAAAATAAAAAATACCTTAATCATTTTTCTTCGAAACCTAAGGTAAGACAGATATAAAACTTATATATCCCTCTACCCCCAGCCATCACTCCTATCATCTCCCCTCCTCCTCTACCATCACTCCCATCATCTCCCCTCCTCCTCTACCATTACTCCCATCATCTCCCCACCTCCTCTACCATCACTTCCATCATCTCCCATCCTCCTCTATCATCACTTCCATCATCTCCCCTCCTCCTCTACCATTACTCCCATCATCTCCCCACCTCCTCTACCATCACTCCCATCATCTCCCCTCCTCCTCTACCATTACTCCCATCATCTCCCCACCTCCTCTACCATCACTCCCATCAAATCCCCTCCTCCTCTACCATCACTCCCATCGTCCCCCTCCTCTATCAACAAAATCATCCCTCCCCTACTTCTCTATCATTAACACCATCCCTTTCATCCTCTTCTATCATCAACACTCCCCCTCCTCCTCCTTTCCTCTTTACATAACTTATTACATCCATCCTCTACCAATAAATGTATCCTCTCTCTTCTCTATCCTCCACCTAGTTCTCTTCTCTTAATCTTATCTTTTTACGTTCCCTTCCCCTCTATCACCAACCTCACCCTTCCCCTCTCAATCACCAACCTCGTCCTCCCCCTTCTCTATCATCGAACCTCGTTCTCCTCCTTCTCAATCATCAAACCTCACCCTTCCCCTTCTCTATCACCGAACCTCGTCCTCCCCCTTCTCTATCATCGAACCCGGTTCTCTTCCTTCTCTATCATCGAACCTGGTTCTCCTCCTTCTCTATCATCGAACCTCACCCTTCCCCTCTCTATCATCGAACCTCGTCCTCCTCCTTCTCTTTCATCAAACCTCACCCTTCCCCTCTCTATCATCGAACCTCGTCTCCTTCTCTATCATCGAACTTCCCCCTCCCCCTTCTCTACCCTCATCTTCACATAATCTTCGCCTACTGTACCGTCATTTCTTCATTCTTATTCGCCACTACATAACCTCATTTTCGCCCGATCCCCGCTCTTCCAGTTTTAGTGATTGATTTGCATACATATTGTCGGAAGAATTCTATACTTAGGGGATTGACTAAAATCGATACTGTAATGTGTACACCGTTTACTTTTTGTAACAGATGACCCAATATCTTAGATAACGTAGAATGATCGTCTATAAAACCGCAGTTCAAAAACGGCATTTCCATTTCGTTTGAAATTGGGACTGGCAGTTTATACAAAGTGGAAAATATAATCTTAAATAAGAGACCATGTGTACTATAGGGACCTTATTAAAGATTGAGAGGTACACTCAGATATAAGAAGTATTAAATCTGGTGGCCTCTAGAGGAGGATATTATCTTTATATCTGTACGATTAGGCCCTACATTTTTTACCTTTGCTGACAATTCGTGAAAATTGATTTATAATTTCAATCATTTGTTGCCGATAAAAACATTCTAGTCTTATTGAGACCTTGCTGTTAGAATGTTGTATCAAAAACGACTTATTAAAACAGAATCTCAGATGAATTGTAATACTGAATTTGTTTTGTTGTTCAAAGCTTCCATTTTCTTTGCCAGGTCTCGGAGGGTCCGACTCTCAAACGAACGAATCCACCTTTATATAAGTGGTCTAAGTATCCAGTATGTTATTGTATCTTTTTCATGGTTTAATGACGATTGTATACGAGTTTTAACGAGGAAATTTATACCTGTTTCACTTCCTCAATGTAAGGCATTGCAGTGTAAATGATACTTCTTCATGTTTATTCAATTTTTTCATAAATGATATATCCATGTTTCCCTCTTCCTTATTTGGGTGATATGGGGAAGGACGACATATTCATTTCTATGAGAAAGCTATAGACTGGTTGTATTCTCAGTTATTCAGATTAATTCGTGGTTTTGAAGAGAAAACATCATATTGATATTTATGATTAACTTTAGTGATATAATTCAATACACAAGATAACAAATGTCGAGTCATTCTCTAGAAATATTTCAATTCTTAAGCCTCCTTGAAGTCGAAACAAGCAATCACTGGAGAGTGAAATGATATGTACGCATTAATCTTTTTTCCGTTGTGTCGCGTGCTCGTTTTTTCAGTCTAAGGGAAATAACTCTTCTGACCTTACATGAAAACAGTCCTACTTACGTAAATGTATATTAGGTAAATTATAATGAACGGTAATGTTTTATTACAAGCCTTTACACAGCTGATAAATGTATATATCTGTGACCTAGTTGTGAAGAATATAAGACTCTGAAAATCAAAAGGACACATAACCTTAATGTATAATGTGAGGAATTCCATTGATGACACACCACAAAATATACGACATGTATATCATTCATAAATCACCAGACCGAGATAGTCCGTGATGCGAAACATCTCTTATTGTGTATTTTGCTGACCCCGATTGTGACCTCTGATAAAATTGACTCTGGGATGTGTTTGTGTTTGTCATTCAGACAAATTCGTTGAAATACACGAATATAATATTAACCCTTGGTTCTGCGATTTAATATCATTTCAAGGGTCTAAATTGCGTATTTTTGTCTTTTTCAGCATCACAGAAATAACCATATTTGATATCACGAATAGATACTGCCCTGTACATTACAAATGAACAACAGAACGTCAAATACCTACTGAAATCAACTCTGATATAGAACTTACAACTATTGAAGCTATCATATCCTTACTATTACAATATCATTTCAATCAAAGTGGGTACACTGCACTAAGAAGATTTCAAATGTAATTCTCATCCTGTTACCGAGGAGATAGATACATCATGGGCATCTTAATATCTTTAATTCTTATCTGATAACCAAACCCTCAAGTATTAAAATTAAGTAATACAACACTCAACAGTATTGACGATATATCGATGGTGTCCTATTCGCAAACGCGTAGAAAATCTTCTCAATATGTTTATTTTAAGTTCAGCCTTGAGATTATGTTAATAGAAGAATCCTCTGGCCATTGATCTTAGTACCAAACCCTCAAGTATGTTGATAAAATTACCACATATTGCTGAAAATCTGAAAAATTGCTTTGAAACGCCTGATATATGTGATCACTGACATGTTACATCTTACACTTACCCTCCCGACTCTTAAAGGCTGATGTAAATGGCTTCAGTAAAACTTATTTTATTAATTTTTCACACTTAAATAATGATGTCTGTTTATATCTTGATCATATAAATATAGCTATGTAAATCTGAATTGTACATAAATTTGTTTCATTCAACGAAACATACTAAATTTACATACAAAATAATGTAGAATTCGCTTTCAAGTATGAAATTACAAAGATTCTAACCTGTGCGACTTATAATTATGAAACATTTGTGTTATCAAGTGGTACTTTAACGGTA